CTTGATTCTCCATGTGTCCTATTATTTTATCATCTGTTCATGGGTCTCAGAAGATACGTAAGTTGATAAAGTATAATTCATGACATTAATCAAAGGTATAATGGTCGTATGACGTTCCGAGAGATTTTATTGACGTACTTCTCATGCACTGCATTCATTCATACATGTACATTGACCCATGACCAGATGGCGTTATATACGCGTATATACGTATATATATGTATATGGGATATGGGAAAAGGTTACGGCGTTATATACGCACCATCACCTGATCAGCTTGTATACGTTGATGATTTTGCCCACAGTGGTCGAGATGATATGATGGGATGCCCTCAGAGGCTTGATGAGTTATGAACACAAGCACCTATGCACGGCATGATATTCATACGCATATGCACGACACTATAAGTATTTCATGATTTACAGAGTTATCCAGACTTATAGGTTGGGTCATTTACTCCACGTTTCTTCCATGTCTTTTATATACTTATTTATGTGCCTTACATACTCGGTACATTATTCGTAGTGACGTCCTTTTGTTGGGGACGCTGCATTCATGCATGCAGGTATAGACAATCAGTTTGACGAGCCCTTATATTAGACGAGGTTAGCATTCAACAGTGGATCAATAAGACTCCACCTCATTCGGAGTGCAACAAAGTCTACAAGTCATCGTGTCAAAATTTTGCTACAGACTTATGGGTAGGTCGGTACCCTGTCCCATTTTATGTCAAGTAATCTTAGAGGCTTTGTAGACACAGGTTTATTATGTACACTATGTCAATGGCAAAGGCCTTGACGGCCCATATGTATTCATGTTTTGTGAACGATGGTTCATTGATATAACATTTGCCCACTTACAACTGTACATTACGAGTTATGGCTATGTTGGCTCATGATAGTTACAAAAGGAATGAACGAATTACAGAGTGGTTGCTCGGGCCAATTTTGACACCGGGTGCCAGTCACGCCTCCCAATGCTTGGGGCGTGACACTTAATTTGATTATTTAGAAAATAACGTACATAACCTGCTAGGCTGCGACAATTTTCAGAGATTTTTTTGTTTTTGTTTCGCTATAACGAGTTAAAACACACTAATGATGTAAAATTTTATTAACACTAGCAGTGAATATAATCAAATTAAGATAACTACAGACAATTGCTTATAATTGTGTGTTATCCGTGTAAATATAATCAAATTAAGATAACTATACACTTTCAGCATTTTACTTCCAAACCATTTTGTAAATTATGCTCAATTATTCATTAAGAAAAAAGAAAAAGGAATACACGTAAGGTGGAAAAAAGTAGAGGAATTAGGGCGGTCAAGGAACAGAGAAGACGTAAATTATAAAGAGCAAAGCTGATCTGTGATTCTAACAACCTTTATCATTTATAGCTAATCAAAGATACATCTAAATTGGCAATAAGATTCTTTCCCAGAGGACACAAGCAAACGATGGAAAAATATTTACCATTTCAAATTCTTGATTTGTACCTAGCAATTAACATTGTAATAAAACTTAAATCACACCAATGAATAGAGAAAATGTGTCTCTTATATACAGTTCGATCGCTCAATAATGATTGAGTAATGTATATTCTCGCTTTAATTCATCACTTAATCATAATAAATTAGTGATGTTTTGTGTCAATTATAGGCGTGGAATCTCCATATCTTGCTAGGTGTTTTTTTAAATTGAAATTTGAGTGTAATTTCAAAGAATTTTGAAGAAATTAGCAGTGTAAAAATCAGATTTTATCAACCATTTGGTGGCGAGCATAAGTGTTTGAAGCACCTTTTGAGGTTTGTCTCCATCAGTTTTACACAATATGACGATGGATTATGCTTTCAGGAACAAATATAAGCAACTCAATACAAACAGAAAAGACATTTTTTTTGGGACTGCTATTATTTAGGAGGGTTTTCTTTACTTGTAACAAAAGGATTCCTCAAGTGTGGATATCCCTCTTTCACCTCTAAAGTTACTTTCATTTGTTGACCATCAAATATTTAAACCCCCCAACCAACCCGAGGAGGATACACCTTGCGGCAAGCGGTATCACATGACACCGCTTCATCGAATTTTTTTAAATAAGTATATATAGATAGGATACAAAATAAAATATTGAGTATAAATATAAAAATGACACTGCTTGTCATTATAGTGTTTTATTCATTTTTTTATTTTCTTCGACTGTTGACACCGCTTACCAAAAATCCTGCATACCGCCCCCTCCCCCAATTCCCCCCCACCCCAACTCTATGCGATGATATATCTTTCTCACACTTTAATCCTACTTTCCATGGTCGGCTTTAGATAATCATCCCTGCACTTGGAAAAGAAATTGGCAATTGTAGATAGCCATCTATTTAGTGCTTAAAAGCAAAAAATTCCCTTTGGCTCAACAAAACAGTGTAGGGTCCAAAAATAAGGAAAATTCAGGGTGGGGGCTTCTACTTCTTCTTCTTTTTTTTTTTTTTTTTTTTTTTTTTTTTTTTTTTTTTTTTCCTATTAACTATAGATGATATTGACTTGTTAAAGTTAACCAAGAAGCAAAAACTCTCCCTTAAAAAGGAGATTCTTTACCTGTCCCACAACTTATTAGCTTTTAAATATTCCATGTCCATGTACACAATGATGCGATAAATTGATTCCCTCCATTCTCAAACATTTAATCTCTCCATACAAGCATCTCTTTTTGTTCCTCTCATCTTTCTCTCCTCTCTCTCTCTCCCCCCAAAAATGGCTCAACAGATGGAGGTAAGTCTTGCTTCTACTTCCATATCAACTTTGAACAAATCAAGAATCACATTCATGTAGTTAACACTCACATCTTTTTATGCAGAAACCTAGGGTCACAGAGATACAGGTGAGAATGGACTGTAATGGATGTGTGCAAAAGATCAAGAAAGCTTTACATGGCATCCATGGTGAGTAAGTGATGCTTGAAGTACTAATTCTTTCTCTTAATTGCTAATTCCTTTCTTCATCTCTCCAATAAGATGTTACAATATTCTATGTGTGTTCGGTGTTTTTACAGGTATTTATGATCTCTATATAGATTTTCCTCAGCAAAAGATTACTATAGTAGGATCAGCAGATCCTGAAAAAATAGTAAAAGCACTAAAGAAGACAAGAAAGAGTGCTATTGTTTGTTCCCACATAGAACAAGCAGAACCTCCAACAGAGCCAGAGGAACCTGCACCAGCTGAGAATGAAGCACCGCCCCCCGAGTCTAGCAATCCTCCAACAGAAGCTCCACCAGCTGAAGAACCGCCGAAAGAACCGCCAAAAGATCCACCGACACAAGAAACTCAACAAGCAGAGGAGAAACAAATACATGATGAGGGTGCTGACAATACCAAAAGGCAACCAGACCAACCCTCTAAACCTAGAGACGTCGAAGAAGTTCATGTAATATACCACTATCCACCAGACTACGGTTACAGACACAACTTTAGCCAGGGAATGAGCAGTCACGAGCCACCCCGGGATCATGGATACAGATACAACTATGGTCAGACCATGATCCATGAGCCACCCCGGGACCCTCGTTACAACAGATACAACTACGGCCCGAGTATGAGCCAAGAGCCACCCAGGGACCATGGTTACAACAGATACAACTATGGTCAGAGTATGAGCTATGAGCCACTTAACTACAGCCGGAGCATGATCCATGAAGCTCCTCCGGGAAACACTGGCTACAGAAATAATCATGTTCGTCCTACTGGTCCAGAATTCAGACCTGAGGCGCCGCCACCAGGTCAACCACCAGTTTATGTGGCTCACAGCTACAATAGCTACCAACCATCACCTTATGTGACTGGATATGAGTACATCAGGTCACCACCAAGATACACACAATATACTAGGCCAGAGCATTACTCTGAGGACTATCACTATGGAAACGATGGCAATGGAACAATCGGCTCAGTTTTCAGTGATGAAAATCCAAATGCATGCACAATAGCTTAAGGAGGATGAGCAAAATGGTTTGCAAGGGAAGCAAGTAATTTTATTTTTTGTTTCACCTGTAAGAGAGAAAGATGCCTAACAAATTCCAGATGATTCGTAAAGTAACTCTCAACAAACAAAAATAAAGCAACTACATGTGAAAATGCTGAGAGTAATGAGATTCTTGACTTCAAAAGCAAAAAGGGAATATATCCTCCACTCCATCTCTACAAGGCTAATTCAGACCACCTGGCATTCATTTCCTGAAGAAGAATACTAATAAATCTCCTTTATTCTTGGAATTTATTCCTCAGCTTTACATTTAAAAATTTAGCCATGCTTGAAAGCTTCATTCTTTTCTGCCAAAATACAGAAAGTTGAACTTGACTATGAGATGGAGAAATAAAGGAATTTGGTGATCTCTTTTTTAATCTGTGCAAGAAAAAGTTTTGTATTTTCCATTTGAATGGCTCAACCTATTATCGGCTTTGCAAAATCTGAGCAATTACATTTCCTGCTGAACATATATCTTTAGGCAGGAAAATGCAGATACCAATTGGCGGATATCAATTCTCAGAAAAGGGATAAGCTGATCACCCAAAACATCTAAAGCTTACCCATGCCAATCCGCAATTATAGCCAGATGCAACTTGCAAGAAAAGATGTACTAGAAAACTAGCCAGAAAAGCAGGACTTTTACCATTTAGTCACTAATTCTGATAGAAATAAAGTAGCTAGAATCCCTCACAAAATTGTAATCCAGGCTGTTAATCACAAGATATCTCAAATTAACGAACATTCAAATAACACATAAATGTGACAACACTGCTTGCACCAATGTAATACATAGATTCAATCCCACCTGGTAACACTCTTTTGAGTGCATATTGATTAGTTGCCCTAGCGAAAGGACTCAGTAGAGACACAACCCCCGTACTACATTATGAGCAGAGGAATTCCTTTATGTTAGGTGGATCAAATTCAAAATGAAAGAGAATATTGATGAAATTATAGATTCTTCGAAAACCGATCAAAATCTTACATGTCAAGATTCAACATTGCACAACATAATTTGGATAATGACTCATTTTGTTCAATTTCAACCTTAACTTTTACAGAAAATGGATGAAAATTGAATAGTAGCTCTTACATTGTTGTTTCAAGCAATAGGGAAATTGTTTAACAGAAATTTTTTCCAACCAAGATCACAAAGTCACCGACAAATGTATTACCATATGATCCCTTTTTCCTTTGGATAACTTTTTGCGCTTTGTCTTTCCTTTTTGTTGATAAGATATCGTTTCAACTAGAGCAAACCAAGAATAAGAGATCACAAGCATAAGTAGCCGAGTGCAGTCAATTTCTGGTTTAGATCAACCTGATACGACGTATAACAGGCACTTAAGTGAAGGAGAAGCATGCAACCTGTTTGCCACAAAGAACTTGACTTCAAAATACCAACAAAATGTAATATGCAATTACTGAATGTGTTATGAACTATTGCAAGGAATGGGACTTGAGTCCCACATCGGTGTTGATGTGGGGTTTATATAGCCTTGGGCTCTCCCACCTTAATAGCTAGCTTTTGGGGTGTGATTCTCCCTAGGTTCTATCATTTGGTATCAGAGCAGTTCCTGGCCCTACAACCATGACCATTACAGAAACAAGGTCGAAGTCCATGGAAGATAGTCTAAAGAAGCTGGGAGCACAATTACAGAACCATATTACAGAGGAAAATAAGAAGGCTGAGTCTACAGATGCCAAAATTGATGAATTGGCAAGGAAGTTCGATGTGTTGATGGAGAAATTGTTGCCCAATCATGCAGGAATATTGGGGAGTGCTCCAATGGAGATCCTTCAGCAAGGAGAACCAGGAAATAGCCTTAGAAGGGAGGAGATCCCTGTTGTTTTGCCAAATGATCGAAATCACCATCACAGCTACAATTCTATGGTGGAGTTTCCCTATTTCGATGGTGCTGTGGGAGCTGACCCTTGTTCATGGTTGAGGAAATGTGAGAGGTATTTCCATTATAACCATGTAACCCTGCCAGAACAGAAGCTTGAAGAAGCAGTGCTGCATCTCAATGGAAGGGCAGAAGCATGGTACTTTTCCTATCAGTTAAGCAAAGGAAATGTCAGATGGCCAGAATTCTGTGAAGAAATCTGTAAAAGATTCCAAGATGCAGACAACAGTAAATTCAATCTAATTGGTGAATTTAAGAAATAGAACAAAAGGGAACAGTTAATGAATATCTGGAGAAGTTTGAGGATTTAAAGGCTTGGGTTCTAATTAGAAGCCCTACAATACCAGAGGAGTTTTTCTTAAAATTCTTTGTAGAAGGCCTAAAGGAGGATATAAAGCATACAGTGAAGATGTAGAATCCCTACAACCTAGGTCAAGCTGTAGAAAAGGCCAGGCATCAGGAAAAGGTGATTGAAACTTGGAACAAGAAGGGAAAGGGCCCTTGGGGTAGAGGATCAACCTATGGGAATCAGCAACAGACAAATATTCACACTCCAATTTTGGGAACTAAGGGGGCAGGGCCAGCAAATTACTCTGCTCCAGGAAACAAGGGATTTGATAACAGAAGGAATAATGGGTTGTGTTGGAAGTGGTGGAGACAAGTATTTTCCTGGTCATGTGTGTAAGCAAAAACAAATCAATGCCATGGCTGCTGCTGAAGACCAGGCTATATTAGAGGCAGTGGAAGAAGAAGGATCTGGAGGAGAGGGCAATTCAGACAATCAGATAGAGGAAGAAGTCATGGATGAGGCTATTAGCCTCAATGCTCTCTCTGGGACTGAGGTTCCAAACACAATTAAGCTAAGAGGGAAGTCCAAGAAAAACTCAATAACTATTCTATTGGACTCAGGAAGCACCCACAACTTCCTAGACATAGAAACAGCTAAGAAGATAGGTTGCACAATTACAGAATCTACTCCTATGAGGATCACTGTGGCAAATGGTAATTACCTTATGAGTAGGCATGCCTGTCACAGGTTCAAATGGGCAATTCAAGGGGTGGAGTTTGAGGATTCTGTGAGGCTAGTAAGGCTAGGAGGGAATGATATGATGTTAGGGGGGGGGATTGGATGAAAGGCCATAACCCAGTACTGCTAGACTTTACAAGGTTCAGGTCACTCACAAGGGCAAAAGAGTGGAACTCAAGGGTATTTACAGTCAAGGGGAACTCAAGAGCATGTCAGCTAATGGAGTTAAACACTTATTGAAGAAAGGACAAGCTATTTGGGCTCACCTGTTTACTTTGACTGCAGAGGAAGTAAACGAGCAGGAGCAGGTACCTGCTGTGATACAGCAAGTTTTGAAGCAGTTCCCTGATGTATTTGAGGAGCCAACCAGCCTTCCACCCAAGAGGAATCATGATTATTACATTCCCCTGAAACCAAACACAACACCAGCCAGCATAAGGCCTTACAGGTACAATTTCTTTCAAAAGAATGAGATTGAGAAACAAGTCAATGAAATGCTAGCAAATGGAATAATATAGCCTAGCCGTTCCCCTTTTTCATCACCAGTACTTTTAGTCAAAAAGAAAGATGGCAGTTGGAGATTCTGTATTGATTATAGATCCCTTAATAATATGACTGTTAAGGACAAATGTCCCATTCCATTAGTTGATGATTTAATGGATGAATTACATGGGTCCTGTATTTACTCTAAAATTAATTTGAGAGCTGGTTATCATCAAATCAGAATGGGGGAGGTGGATGTGTATAAAACAGCTTTTAGAATACATTTAGGGCACTATGAGTTTAAGGTTATGCCCTTTGGTCTAACCAATGCCCCTGCTACATTTCAATCCCTCATGAACCATGTGTTTAAAGCTTATTTGAGGAAGTTTGTGTTAGTTTTCTTTGATGATATATTAGTCTATAGTGCCTCATTATTGGAGCACAAACAACACCTTGAAAGGGTACTGGAATTACTGAGAAAAGAACAACTATATGCTAAACTTTCCAAAATGCTCTTTTGGACAGTCCAAGGTAGAGTACCTGGGACATATCATTACTGGGGAAGGTGTAGCTACAGATCCTTCCAAAATAGAGGCTATGACTAATTGGCCTGTGCCTATGTCCATAAAAGCTTTAAGGGGTTTTCTGGGGTTAACAGGCTACTACAGGAGGTTTGTAAAATCCTATGGTGTCATTAGTAGACCCCCTAACCAGTCTACTGAAGAAGAATTCTTTCCAGTGGTCCATAGAAGCTGACTCTGCCTTCTCAGCATTGAAGCAGGCAATGTCTTCTGCACCTGTGTTAGCCCTGGCAGATTTCACAAAGACCTTTATTGTGGAGACTGATGCTTGCTCAACAGGGATGGGGGTTGTACTAATGCAGGAAGGCAGACCCTTGGCATTTTTCAGCAAGGCCCTTGGGCCTAGACACATAGGCTTATCTACCTATGAAAAGGAATACATGGCTGTGCTATCAGCTGTAGATAAATGGAGACACTATCTACAGGGAGGGCATTTTATTATTAGAACAGATCACCAAAGCTTAAAGTATCTGTTAGAGCAAAGGGTGACTACTGCCTTCCAACAAAGGGGTCTGGCCAAGCTACTTGGGTTAGACTATGAAGTCCAGTACAAGAAAGGAATAGAGAACAGAGTTGCAGATGCATTATCTAGGAGAGGAGAAGAGGAGCCATTCCTATGTGCCATTACTACTACCAATCCAACTTGGATGGAGGAGATTGTACAAAGTTATGAACATGATCCTATGGCTTTACAGTTGATAACTGAGTTGATCACCCATCCCCTCAACAAACCAGATTTTTCCTTACAGCAGGGAATCATCAGGTTCAAACAAAAAATTTGGGTGGGAAGAAATACTGATCTCAGGGCTAAAATCTTTGAGGTGTTCCATCAATCACCCTTGGGGGTCATTCTGGTCTGCAGGGTACATACAGGAGAGTTCAGATGGGGTTCTATTGGCCAAAGATGAAGGAAGACATACAGAAATGGGTTGCTGAGTGTGATGTATGCCAGAGGGTAAAGACTGAACATGTGCACTATCCAGGCCTACTACAACCCTTACCCATTCCTGAAGGACCATGGCAAGATATATCCATGGATTTCAATGAAGGCCTGCCTTATTCTGAGCATAAAAGTTCTATTTTGGTAGTGGTGGACAGACTTACTAAATATGGCCATTTTATTCCTCTCAAACACCCTTACACAGCTAAGGAAGTTACAGATGTTTTCTTAAAGGAGGTGTACAAGTTACATGGGCTGCCCAAATCTATAGTAACTGATAGGGATCCCCTATTTACTAGTCAATTCTGGCAGCAGATGTTTAAATCCATGGGAACCAGACTCAACATGACTACTGCCTATCATCCACAGTCCGATGGTCAAATGGAGAGACTTAATAGGTGCCTAGAGTCCTACCTCAGGGCCATGATTTTTTACAATCCTAAACACTGGCTCAAATGGCTCCCATTAGCTGAGTGGTGGTACAATACTAACTACCACACAACCCTTAAAGCCACACCATTTGAGGCTGTTTATGGTTACCCACCTCCTCAGATTCCCATGGGCTCCCTCCCACACTCCACTCACACTACTGTAGGGGCTACACTTGCTCAGAGGCAGACTATGTTACAACACTTGAAGGAAAATCTACAAATGGCCCAAGCTCGAATGAAGTTTTTTGCAGACAAAAATCGGACTGACAGGAATTTAAATGAGGGAGATTGGGTTTACTTAAAGCTACAACCTTACAAGCAAGCTTCAGTAGCAGTCAGAAAAAATCTGAAACTCAGTGCAAAATACTATGGTCCCTATAAAATCATACAGAAGATTGGCACAGTGGCTTACCGCTTAGAGCTTCCAACAGGCTCTCAGATCCACCAAGTGTTTCACGTGTCCCAGCTCAAGAAACGCATAGGACCTGATGTGGTGGCTCAGCCCCAACCTCCTAGTTGTGGACAAGACGGGCGCTTGATGGTTCAGCCGGTGGCTATTCTCCAACGTCGAATTGTCAAGGTGAATAATGCGGCAGAAGTCAAGGTTCTTGTTCAGTGGTCGAACCTGGGAGCTGATGAAGCGACTTGGGAAGACTGGGGGTACATCAAAGGCTAGTTTCCTAACTTTGTGGCTCAACTCCGGCCTTGAGGACAAGGCCAATTTGGACAAGGGGGTATTGTTATATCTGAAAGAGATTCTCTTAATTGGAGAAGGAGTAAAATTAGGGTTCAGATTTGGAAAGTGAGCATTTTACACGTGTGGTGTTAGCTGCATGAATCAAATGGTTGAGATTAGAAGTTAGCTTAATAAATGAAGGGCCTAGATTAGTTCGTAGAATATTGGACTGTTAGTTAGCTAGTGGGGTTGTAACAAAATTAGTTAGTGGGCTGGCAATTGGGCTTTATATTCCTAAAAGCTGGACAGATTGAGGCAGGCAATTATCTGGTAATTCATTTCCCTCCTCTTTTCTTCGTTTCTCTCTTCTCTTCTCTCTTCTTTTCTCTTTCTCACTCAATCTTTCATTTCTCAGGTAACTGCCATTGAAGTTCGAGTTCAAGCTTGGAAAGTAGTTTGATTGTACTACTGAATTGTAACCCAGCTGAATTCATTAATAAAAACTCGAATTTCCTTCTTTTGCAATTAGTTTCTCATTCAAGTATTACAATTGTAGTCCATGTGCAGATGTTAGGAACAACTAATCTACCTCATGCTGACTGTATGGAGCGCAAGGATGAAGTATGGTTTTCCCTGTTTTTACTAGTCATTTTCAATGTACTAATGTCGTCTCCATGTGCATATAGCAAGACTTATCTATATTCTGATACAACCTAGGGAGAACCACACCCCAAAAGCTAGCTATTAAGGCGGGAGAGCCCAAGGCTATATAAACCCCACATCAACACCGATGTGGGACTCAAGTCCCATTCCTTGCAATAGTTCATAACAAACCACCACGCTCTGCACCCGTCGTCCTCGACGGCTGTGCGCTAGACATTTCTAGCCCCGGGCGAACACTGCAATACCGGCGTCACCATCCAAGGCACGGTGGGCACAGAGGGTGGTGGATGGCTCTGATACCATATGTAATACTTGAATGAGAAACTAATTGCAAAAGAAGGAAATTCGAGTTTTTATTAATGAATTCAGCTGGGTTACAATTCAGTAGTACAATCAAACTACTTTCCAAGCTTGAACTCGAACTTCAATGGCAGTTACCTGAGAAATGAAAGATTGAGTGAGAAAGAGAAAAGAAGAGAGAAGAGAAGAGAGAAACGAAGAAAAGAGGAGGGAAATGAATTACCAGATAATTGCCTGCCTCAATCTGTCCAGCTTTTAGGAATATAAAGCCCAATTTCCAGCCCACTAACTAATTCTGTTACAACCCCACTAGCTAACTAACAGCCCAATATTCTATGAACTAATCTAGGCCCTTCATTTATTAAGCTAACTTCTAATCTCAACCATTCGATTCATGCAGCTAACACCACACGTGTAAAATGCTCACTTTCCAAATCTGAAACCTAATTTTACTCCTTCTCCAATTAAGAGACTCTCTTTCAGATATAACAACAATGGTGTTTTCATCATGTGTTGTTAGGGTTTTGCCTGAATTTCTAATCTATTAGGACTCTCTTTCTAGAAGGAATGGAAAAAGACTCCTAAAAGGATTAAATCTCCTTAATGTCTTATCCTTTTCTTGGAAGACAAGTTTTGCACATCTATAAATTAAGGATCTCTGCTTCTCACAAGAAAATAAAAATAAAATAAAATATCCACATTGTAGTCATTAAAGAATTTTGTTTAGGGGGAGATTTTTCTCTCGATAGTTTTTCTTCTTTTAGATTAGTTTTATCATATGTAGGTCAATTGACCAAACCATTATAAACTATTATGCTTAGTTTAGTATATTTTTCTTTTATCGTCTGATTTATCGTCCACCAAGCTTTGTATTGTTAGTTTCCGCATGCACCATGTTATTTCGATCCCAACAAGTGGTATCAGAGCCAATGGTTCAGAGTCAACGGTTGAACGAGGTTGAAGACAAATTCAATGCGTGTTTAGATCAAGACGATAATGAAGATTTATTCAACATGCTACATGTGGCGATAAATTTACAACCACAATTGTATTCAAAACGCCTGCCGCTGCATCTTTATTAGAATAAAAATCTTTCTAACCCATATTTTGGCCGCTTTTGACCAATGTCAGTTTTAAGTCATGCCTACTTGCAACGCATGAGTTCCAATGCCAGTTTTAACTCACGCTTCTTTTTAATGCATGAGCTTCTTTTACCCCATGTTTATTCTTAACACGTGGGCTCCTTTTAGCCCATACTTGTGCTTCTTTTAACCAATACAAAGATTTTCAACCTATACCGGTTTTTAATCATGGCAAGCAGCAGTGATGAAGATTATGTGAAGAAGGTGAATCAACTTTGTCAAGAAAATTCAGGCCAAGGGGAGATTGTTAGGGTTTTGCCCTGAATTTCTAATCTATTAGGAATCTCTTTCTAGAAGGAATGGAAAAAGACTCCTAAAAGGATTAAATCTCCTTAATATGTCTTATCCTTTTCTTGGAAGACAAGTTTTGCACATCTATAAATTAAGGATCTCTGCTTCTCACAAGAAAACAAAAAAAAAAATCTACATTGTAATCATTAAAGAATTTTGTTTAGGGGGAGATTTTTCTCTCGATAGTTTTTCTTCTTTTAGATTAGTTTTATCATATGTAGGTCAATTGACCAAACCATTATAAACTATTATGCTTAGTTTAGTATATTTTTCTTTTGTCGTCTTATTTATCGTCCACCAAGCTTTGTATTGTTAGTTTCCGCATGCACCATGTTGTTTCGATCCCAACATGTCTATCACAGGGTAACAGTGGAATCAGATAATTTCTGATCACACAAAATGATCAAGAAGGAAACTAAAACTTCATGGAAGATACAAGAAGACATCAAAGCCCAAATGAGCATGCAAGCAAATATGGTTCAAAGATGTCTTAATATGCAATGTCTTGTTCTATATTTGTCAAAAGTAACAGAATTTAATAGCACTTGAGAAAAATGCATAGAGAACTCTTACTAGTTACTAGTTACACGGCGGTGTTCATATGAGCTTTTATGCCTTCGTTATTATTGCATCCTTGGATCCTTTCGGGAAAATGGGCCAAACTAGGCTTTCAATGTAGACGCTTGCCTCAAATGATGTATCACAGTTGGTAACCTCTAGATATCTCAATGACTCATCCTTTGGATTGTAAACCATGAAAGTTGATACAAACTGAAACAAAAATTCACCTTTGTTTGACATACAAAAAGGAGGATAAAAGAGAAAACGCACAAGATCAGCAGGATGATTGATGTTAAACATTTTTGTCCAAGATTCTTTAACCCCATACTTCTTCATAATCCACAAATCTACGTGAGTTGTCATTCTCTGATAATAACAAAACAAAGAAAGATCACCTCCCAAAACTCCCAGTGACAGCCTAAAATTAAGTTTTCCTTCTCCATAGCAGGGTTGCTCAACTTTTCCCCATTTCCCATCAGCCAAATCAATACAAATGATGTCCCAGCCATGAGCAGTCTTAGTAATCCAATGAAGCTTGCCATTCACAAACTTACCACACCTACTGAGTAGCACCCCACTCCTAGAAACATGGATACTTGTCCAAGAATCACTCTTTAGACTATATATATTGACCTCAGTAAAATATAAACTATCAACAAACATATTACGGAAAATAGCCACAACCTTATAATCATCATGAAACTCGTCATATCCAAAACCAAACATTAAATAGTAACCACACATCAATGTAGCGGTAGAATCAGGCAATTTCTTGAATTTCCTAATTGATGTATTCCAGATAAACAAGTCTTGTTCCCCAATGATAAGACAAATCAAACCATTGACAGAACCCACAATCTCAACAGTTTTACGAGGTTTTCTCATAGGATTATCGAAGTCACATACCCTAGTAACAGATTCATAAATTAAAGAACTAAGGTAACAATGCTTAAAATGGTACTCAGCTCGAGAAGAACTCAACATAAGCCTATGGTGGGTGTATTCCTTGTTATTAGCAGATAGAGAGAGATGGGTCTTGACAAAATCAGGGCTAGAAATTAAATCAAGCCAAGATTTTGAAACACACCACATTTGCAAGATGTATTTCACTGGTAGCTTTAGGAGTATTTCAGATGTAACGACCCGACCGGTCGTTTTGAGCTCTAGGGCCATGAGCAGCTTCACTTCAGGTATTATGACTTGTACGCATGGTCGGAATTAAATTCCGGGGAATTCGGAGTTGATTTGGAAAGGGAATTCTCATTTCGGAAGCTTTAAGTTCAAAGAATTGACTAAGATAGGATTTCAGAGTAAACGACCTCGTAATCGGGATCTGAAGGTTCCAGTAGGTTCGTATGATGATTTCGGACTTGGGCGTATGCCCGGATCGGGTTCTGGATGACCCGGGAGCGTTTTGGCGCCTATTGTGGAAGTTAGCATTTTGGAAGAAATTTCATAAGTTTGGGTTGAAGTGAATTTCAGTGTTATCGATGTCCGTTTGGGATTCCGAGTCTGGGAGTAGCTCCTTATGGTGATTCTCGAGTTGGGAGCTCGATCGAAAGTGAATTCGGAGGTTCGTGGGTCATTTTGGAGCCATTTGGCTAAGGATGGAAATTTGAAGGTTTTTGAGAAGTTTGACCGGAAGTGGACTTTTTGATATCGGGGTCGGAATCAGATTCCGAAAGTTAGAGTAGGTCCGTAATGTCAAATATGACTTGTGTGCAAAATTTGAAGTCAATCGGACGTGATTTGATAGGTTTAAACATCGAAAGTAGAAGTTTGAAATTCTAAAGTTCATAAAGCTTGGATTGGAGGTCGATTCATGATTTTAGCGTTGTTTGATATGATTTGAGGCCTCGAGCAAGTCTGTAAGGTGTTTTGGGACTGGTTGGTATAGTTGGTTGGGGTCCTGGGGGCCTCGGGTGGATTCCGGTGGTTAAGAGATCGAATTTGGAGTTTGAAGAAGAGTTGAAGTTGCTGGTTGCTTATGTAACCCCACCTGCGAGACTAGGGCCGCAGGTGCGGAGCCGCAGAAGCGGCCCTATGGTCGCAGATGCGGTATTGGTGGAAGAGAGCTGGGATCGTTTTGCCGCAGATGCGGGACCGCATCTGCGGAAGAGAGGGCACAGAAGCGGAATGGGCTGGGGAGCCCCGGACCGCAGAAGCGGCAATTGGTCTCACACCTGCGGAACCGCAGAAGCGGTCAAGTGACCGCAGGTGCGGAAAGTGCTGGAGGCAGTGAGTGTTTTTAAAAATCGGGATTTGGCCATTTTCTCTCATATTTTCTTGGCTTGGGCGATTCTTGGAGGGTTTCAAGAGGGGATTTTCATTATCAACGATAAGTTTGGAGCGTTGTGCGTCAATTTGAGTCTTCGGAAGGGCGTGGAAGGCCGGTCATGGATCTTCGGAGCGAGGTGAGTCTCCTTTCTAACTTTGTGAGAGGGAATTGTCCCCATAGGTGAAATAATTAGTTATGCGCTCCTATTTGTGGGGCTACGTACGCACGAGGTGACGTGAGTCCGTGCGTAGCTGCTAATATGTGTAAGTCCGGTTAGTCTAGGATCCAAAAGCATGTTATACTTGGAATATTTGCAACCTTATTGACAGTTGAATCGCTTAAATCCTATCAAAGTGGTAAATGAACTTCTAAAAAGAATTAAACTTCATTTTTCTAAATTGTTAAAAAAGAATTTGGTTTTCTTTGGATAATTGTTTCCTGATAACTTCTTGATTAATTGTTTGTACGTGTTTAAATTCTGGAACGGGCCGAACGCCTCGGTAGATTAAATAGATGCATCTATGGTTCGCGCCTTTCGACCCTCGGCAGTGCACATTTTACATTTATGTTGGATCGGACCGTACGATCACGGCATGAGTTGCGCATGCTTGTATTGCTTGCCTTGATATTTATTGATACTGATATCTGCTCTCCCGACTTGAGAGAATTGTTAATTAGTGGATTGTGAATCCGGAGACTTTCAATAAAAAGGAACCTTGACCTGTTTGTGACTCATTCGAATTTACTGTTGTTCTTAATAAATCCATGATTTATCGCATTAATAATATTATTATTGGACCATTAGTAAGTATCGAAGTTGCCATCTCGTCTCTACTTCTTCGAGATTAGGCGGGATACTTACTGAGTACACGTTGTTTTCGTACTCATGCTACACTTGATGTGCATTTTGTTGCACAGGTGTAGGTACTTCTAGTGGCCTACTGGGCGTTGCAGTATGGGTGACACGGAGATTAGGTGAGCTGTATTTCCTCGAGGCGACCCGCAGCTAGTATAGTCTCTCTCAGAATTTCATTTACTTTATGTCCAATTTGTGTTCCGGACAGCTGTTGTACTTTATTCAATTTCTTAGAAATTTGCTCATGCACTTGTGACACCGGGTTCGGGATGGTAATAAAGTATTTTGTATTAGCTGCTTATCATTTAATTTGATTTGAGACGGTTATCTTTTTAATTGGTAAATTTAAAAGAAAATCATAGATTTCAAGAGTATTAAAACGAGAATTTAATTAAGTATTTTGGTTGTCTTGCCTGACAGTGGTGTTCGGCGCCATCACAACTCTTAATGGATTTTGGGTCGTGACATCAGAGATGAGCTCTGCTGGCAGAATAGGGATTTTTAAGCTCGATTCTTGCACTGAAGTTGATGAAAATTGAGAATGGTTAGGGGGTTTTCTCTGCTTTGAGTGTAGACGGGAGGCTTCATCTCCCTCAGTTTCCATTTCGGTTGCGCTCAAATTTGAGCTCTTGGAGTGGAGAAGACTAACAGGTTCCGTTGAAGTGGAAGAAAATTGAGCAGGATTAGTGTGTTTGCTCCGCTTTGGCCGTAGATGGGAGGCTTCATCTCACTCAAATTCCATTAGGACTGCACAATTTAAGCTGTTGGAGAAGAATACCAGGTTTTGATGTCTTTTCGTGCAAATATTTACACGTTTTTTTTTCCTTCTCTGTTTCTGATATTTTTTCTTAAAATAAAATGGAGTATTAAATGTCTAATACGTTTAGGGTTCGTTTGGCACTATGGATAAATAAAAATAATCCCAGATAAGAATTTTCTTAGGGGTCGTATGACACAATGATGTAATAATGAATATCCTGGGTGGAATATCACATGGGATTAGTTATACCACCTTCTATATGGGATAACTAATCCCATCATTTTAGTATAAAAATTATCTCGGGATTAGCTGATGCCTCAAACCAAACATGGGATAAGATTAATCTCAAACTTTATTCCCGGATTATTATTCTTATCCCATGTACTAAACCACCCCTTTTTTGAGTTTTACACCTGGTGTAAATAAATTTCAGGATTAAAAATAGTACCGGAATAACTTCTATGTGCCGGAGGGTAAAACAATAATTCTTTGATAAGTTATCCTAAAATAAAACAATAAAATTGATAATCTCAAAATTAATACAACATAAAATAAACAAAAATTAACTAATCCCAACATAACTAATCCCAATATAACTATCCCAGCATAACTTGTCTTCAAACCAAATTACCCATGTACTTGAGTGACTATTTAGGGGTGTAGTATAATGGGTAAAAACTTATCCATTCCAACATTTAATAAATCTATCAATGCAAAATATATACCTTTTATACATGTATTTATCACCTAATCATGCTTAAATAATTTGAATTCACACTTTAATTAGTAACGAATAACATTAAATTGCTTGATTTGAAGTAAATATCGAGTATGAATAAGTGTTTATCATTAAAACAACTGCAAAAAATTTGCATGATTTTTTATAGAATTAGATTATAGCTAATATAGATATTAATATAATTTAGTAACTAAACATAGATTTTTTATTATAATTAAATCAGTTGAAGCAACTTTTTTTTATAAAAAAGTAATATCAATGTGTATTCAATAGTAAAGAAAATATAAAGTTTTATCATAAGTCATTAAGCTTTCGATACTTTCTTGAAGGCAAAAGCATTTAAGAGAAGAGACAACAAAAATATGATATGTAGTTAATCAAATATCCTTTTCATCGTTCCATTGAATAATCTTAACATTTTCAGTTCAAAAATCTGCCAAAGAATCCATAACGATGTAATCAAAGAATCGTTAACTATAGTAGGTAACCTTTAGACTTGTTTAGTTTAATCTTCCAAGTGCCATTTTTGAGATCCTTGTGAAACCATTAATTAACTATACTAGGTAACCTTTAGACTTGTTTAGTTTTGTTGCTTAACCAAAAAACAATTTATCTTTATATGTATGTATACAGTCAAAATCATATGCACCCGATCTATAGGCTCGAGATTCCGTTCTAGACCCGAGTCCGGGCGAGGTCAAGTTCGAAACCGGTGGGCCAGATTCGAGCTCGAAGACAGAGTGCAATGCCCGGAGATAAGAGTTCGAGGAATGCCGAGGCCAAGTGTACTTGACCCCGAAATAGTACCGTTATGACAGAATGAGCTAGATTCCTGCCACGTCCCCAAGATCATGGCGCAAATCCCGGAATAAGATTGTACGATTTCGTACTAGGCGGTTAGACACCTATAACAAGAATATTCCCTACTGTAAATAGGAATATTCTTTATTTAGGGATCTCCTATTATAAAAAGGGGACCCCAATCATTTATAACATCATCTTATCACTGAGCAAAAAATATACTCTCTACATGTTTCGCCTACTGTTCATCAGCATTGTCCTTTAGCTCTATTGTTCTTACTTTACTCTTATTATTTAATTGTTCTTATCATTCCAAGCCTACCTCGAGGTCACTGAGCTCGAGGTCACTGTTGTTGAGTAACATTGGTTTGATTCACTTTTCTCTGTCATTTCTACTTCATACTTGATAACAACACGATATGAGATTCAAGAATTACTAAGAAAAACAAGAAAATCAAGAAACGTGCGGAAGCTAAAAAAAATAAAGAAACAAAAAAGGACGGAAAATTAAAGATAGATTGAATTCAAGAAAGAGTTTCTTGAATTCAAGAAGTCTATTCTTGAAGTTGAATCCTAACAACAACAATTAGCTAACAAAGAACTAATCGCCTTTGGTAGAGAATTAAAAATAAGAGATAGATTGTGAAACCCGACCCTTTAGAATAACAAGAACAACAATAAGCCTAAACTTATCACCT